TATATATATGTATATACATATATATTAAATGTTATAATATACAGGGTGTCTAAGGTTTTTTCGGATTACGTCAAAATTTGTTTTCACATTTTCGTGCATTATATATACTGACACGATTTTATTGGAAAAACTTCAGACACCTTGTACATATTGCGAGGGATATTGTTGATCAAAGTATACGTGTGTGTGTATATATATAATAATTACGTATTAGTTATTATTTTTAAACGATTATCTTAAACGAAACGACATATTTTCGTACCTGAGATATAATCGATTCGCGACATTCAATTAGGCGATTTGATTGATATTTACCTTCGAAAAGAAATCATTTCGATATTAATATTATTACAATATTATATATTTTTTTTTTTTTTTTAATATAAATGAGTCTTGTTTATGCGTATATAAAAAACATATCTACGGAGTGTGTATATATATATACATATATATGTGTTTGATTTTTTTCGATCATGCTTATTATAACATATATTATTTTTTCTTGATTTTTTTTTCGTTGACAATTTTTTTTCGTTAATTTATATAAAAAGAAAAAAGAAAAAAAATATCGAAATAGATTTGTCAAATACGAAAGATAGAAAAAATCGAACGATTTTGTTAAACGAACGAAGTGGGTATTGTTTTTTTAATTTGTAAAATACGGTTTCACATTTTCTTTCTCTTTCTTTCTTTTTTTTCTTACGTACACACATGTATATATGTATATGTATCCGTATATTATACATACGACAATACTGTAAAGAGGGGGTGGGTGTGGGGGTGAGGGTAGGGGTGGAATTGTTTGACGAATTAATAGATCATAAAAATATATATACACAAGATAATTTGAAAAAGATTCGTCAGAGATCTTTCTTAGATCATATTGATCTATCTTGTCGATCATGAATGTTTCTATTTACAAGTAAACCGGGCGTAGAAATTTGTTTTTTTACGATGATTTAATTACAAAAAAATAAAAAAAATAAATTAATACCGATCAATTAATAACTTAAAACACAATTCAAATTGATTTCAATTGATTTTCTTTTGGTTTTTTTTTATTTCTTTTGTTTTTTTTGTTCTTATTGTTAAATCAAACAAATCAGGCACTTGTTATATTTTTTTTTCTTTCTTTCTAATCTGTACATGTAACACAACAACCAACAATGAAAAAAAAAGAAAATAAATTATTAAAAAATATAACACATAAAATGATATCAAATATTATTTCTAATTAATAAAACAAAGGTATTCATTTTTGAAGTAACATATTAATATCTCTAATAAAAACAAAAAAATCAAATCTTCAACGTAATCAATAATGATAAAAAAAAAGTAATAATTCGAAACCTTTTTTTTTAACAGAAAATAATAATCCCTTTCAGTAATTTTGTGTATTTAAAAACATTTATCCCGATTTTAAATCGTTGATTCGATTAGAAACGTCAAAAAAACCCATTACGAAACTTATTTTAAATTTAACATTAATGATAACAATAATTATATATAGTAATAATAATATTAATTATCGGCACATTTTACGTTCGTATGATAGTCAAAAGACTTTTAAAGATTCACGACTGAAGTAGTAACAGCAGTGTGAACTCTAACAGCTAAAAAATTCGTTATATATTATTTCTCTCATTTTCTTTCTTTCTTTCTTTTTTCCTATTTATATTTTACGCGTGCAAAAATT